TATATATATATATATATATATATATATATATATATATATCTGTTAATTTAATTTTTGTTTTCTATATATTTAATCCTCACGCGAAAAACTGACCGTTAGTCTACGGCAATGGCATAGTTTACTTCGTTATATTTGAATTAGGTATTTTAAAGAAGTTTAATCTTGTTCATTTTTATTTGTTTTTCTTTTTTCTTGGCTCAGGAAGGAGAGTAGTACACAGTGTAACATAAAATGCTTCTTTCTCGTGCATCTCATCATCATCATCATCATCATAATCTCATAATCATCATCGTCATCGTTATTATCATCTTAATCAACATTATTATCATCATTATCATCATTATCATCATTGTCAATTCACATCGTCGTTTTCATCATCATCATCGTCATCATCATTATCCTATCGTTTAAGGAAAAGTCTTCTTTCGTAGAGAGAAAAGATTAACTTATCGGGGTTGTTGTGCCTGACCAGCTTGTCAGAAAGACCAAGAGTTAAAGTCGGTCAATCCCACAAACACTGTCAGCAATTGGCGTACTCAAAGTCATCCGTTGCTGAATAAGGGACGTACTTTTTTCTGCTTTTTAATTATTTTTTTTTTTTCCTAAAATTTGTTCGCTCTCTTTCTTTCCTTCTTTCCAATTTTTCTTCCCCTTTTCTTCTATTTTTCTTTTTTGTTAAACGAAGGGAGGAGACACACACGGTGAAAGGAGGAAGAGGATTTAGGAGGGATTTACCTTTCTCGATTAGACCGGGTTTGCCTCTCTTCCTGTGGTTTTTTTTTTATCTCTACGTCACACAACCCCGAGGACCGGATGTCTCCTTGCTTGTATTATTGTTTTTCTTTAGTACTGGCTTACGATCTATTTGATCGGGCGATTTCGCGCCGGATTCCATTTGATTGTCACTGATGAAAGACTCCTTTAAACAAATAGGAGCCCTGTTTTTTTTTATTTATTTATTTATTTATTTATTTAGTTATTTATTTATTTGTTCGTTCGTTCGTTGATTCATTCTTTCTCTCTCTTCCTTGACTCCATTATTTTCTATCCCTTTCTCCATTTTCTTATCTTTTTTTTTTTTAGAAATTCTGCACATGACTGGAACACCTCATAGGCTTCATGCCATATATTAGTTCTTACATGTAGCATCCCATCCCATGGTGCGCAAAATTAGGTAGAAAATATACCAATAAGATATAATTTGTTCATACAAAATGTTGTCCAGTCTCAAACCGTGGCAATGACGATAAGCAAATGTGAGATCTTGGCGACACGATGAAGCAAATCCGGTGCTATGCGCGCTAAACTCTCGTTTGCGAAGTCGCACGATGGGAATATATGTATCACGTATGCGGGCTGCAAATAGATATTTTTTTCTTTTTATTATCTTTTTACCAATCGTTTTATATTAATTTGTTTTTATCGATTCTTTCGTCAAATAAATCCAAAATATGTATATATATATAAATTAAATCAATCGTTTGCTAAAAATAGATAAATATTTTCAACTAACCTGTTGTGAACCTGGAGCAGCGATGTTAACAATTCCTGCGGCTTGTTTCTGTTGCAGATACATGATAAATCCGCTTTGAAGATTTTTACTTTGCTGTAATACATCCATCTCGTTGCGTCCGCACGGTAATGCAAGTAACATGCAATGTTCGTTATCAGTCTGTTTTAAAGGGATTATCATTATTTGGTGAACATTTAATAATCTTCCATAAATTAACTATTTATATATATACATATATATGTAACATACCTGCATTTTTCTCGCTACACCGTCGACTTGAGTTTGTTCGAGTCTCATCCTTTGTGCGATACGCAATGGTGGAGTAGAACCGTCATTGTTACAAGGTAAGCTCTCCCTAGCTACATTAGGATTACCAAAAACGAAATGCATTTGTACTGCAGCTTGATCGTTTTTAAGGGCAAGCAGACCTTGCCACATAACAGGATAACGTTGAAGTAACATTTGGAATGAATCTGCTTGAGGTGGTATTTGCGATGCTTGAGGTGGTATTTGTGATGCTTGAGGTGGTATTTGCGATGCTTGAGGTGGTATTTGCGATGCGTGAGGTGGTGTTGTTACCACTTGATGTTTTTTTGGTCTGTCAGGTGTAATCGCATTATCTGTAGGAGCCTCGCTTGCAGGCATAGGATATTGAGAACGTAAGTGAGCAGGTGGTGGCTCGTAATAACCTCCCCTTGCTGCAGTTGGTGCAGCCAAAGATGGATTACTTCCGGCGTTATATTGAGGCGGTGGCGGTGGTAATCGCGTACTTCCATGAAGCATGTAAACTTGTGCAACTTGCGGACTGTCCGTTGTACGTTCTTGAGGAGTTCTAGTACTTCTTCTTAATTCCAAAGGTGGACTGTGACTATCTTCTATACCAGTTTCTAATTTGGGATCTAATGGCAAATGAGGTGACCTTGTTCCTGGAATATGATAAGCTATACGTGGTGTTAAAGCTTCTTGTTGAGCACGGAATAATTGATGATATTGTAAAACTTGTGTATGCATGTAATGTGGAGGTGGTAACTCAGCAGTACGTGATAATCCACCGTAATGGTTAACAATAACATCATTCTGCAAAAAAGAAAATTAAAATATTACTCTCGAATCATATTTTTACGAGATCAAATATTAAATTAATGTAGACCGATCATTGAGCAACTTTGTGTTATTTCAAATAATCATATAGTATTATCTGATATAAGTTAATGAAAAGATAATATACCTGCGATGCATTAGCATGATGATGAGCAGGTGGTGGCAATGGAGGAGTCTGAGCACGATGTGGAGGTACAAGCCCATATTGAGCTCCCGGTGATGGAGCAGTACCTGCACTCCCATGCTAATAAAAAGCAGCCATATTAGTTTAGCGACGTTATTTTATTATACTGTAAAAAAAGCGTATATATATCATATCATACAAATTATTTTACTTACCATAGATGCATCATAAGTTGGTATTGGTACCCCGCGACTCTGAGGACTTGCACTGGGTACCATAATGCAACCAGACATAGAGACTTCTACTTTAGGAGGTTCCATAGTACCAGTTACCTACAAGTAATTTAAATAAATATTTAATTGAGCGTTTTAAAAATCAATATGTGTCCTTAAAATAAGAATACACGTACCTGAGGTTTCGGTCCAGGTGGACGTGGACAGCCTACAGCTGCTGCAACATTCTGAGGACCAACAAGATGTGGTTGTGTTGGAGGACTTGCAACTGCTCCAGTTACCATTGTTGGTACCACTGCTTGTAATAAATGAGCCTTTGGATTGAGCGAATGTGGTTGCCCATTGATACCTTTATTTGTTACTGGCTGAGAAACTGGATGATGTATTCTCTGAGTTGGTGCAGATACAACACTGGCTGGATGAACGTTGATCGGTAATTTTTGAGACATGTTTATTATGGTGGATGGTTGTTGCTGTTGTTGTTTTGCTGCCTGTAGAAGATGTTGCTTAGGATTTGGTGGTACACCCGTATTATTAAGTACTGGTGACATTGGTTGTCCTTGTTTCCCATTTCCTGAACTTACTTGTGCCTGTTTAGTACATGGACTCAAATTAGGGGAGACTACTCTGCCACCAGGAATTTGCAAATGAAGACTTTGTAGTATCGCTTGAGCAGGTTGTTTTAGAATATTTTGAACTACTGTCTTGTTTGGTAATGTTGGAACTACAGGCTTTGTAATAACAATTTGTTGTTGTTGTGGCTGCGATTGAGATTGAGACTGAGCCTGAACTTGAGATTGTGGTTGTGGTTGTGATTGAACCTGTGATTGAGCCTGAGCTTGAGCTTGAGCTTGAGCTTGAGCCTGAGCCTGAGCCTGAGCTTGAGTTTGAGCCTGTGGTTGTGGTTGTAGCTGCAACTGTGGTTGAGCCTGAGGGTGGGTCTGAACTATAATCGGAGCTGGAGCCGGAGCCGGAGTCGGAGCCGGAGTAGGAGCCAGAACCGGAGCCAGAACTGGAGCCTGAACCTGTGGTTGTAATTGTGGTTGTGGTTGTGGTTGCGGTTGTGGTTGTGTTTGTGGTTGAGCCTGAGATTGAGTTGATAATTTACTAGCATTCAATACATGAGCTTTCAAACTTGTAGGTTTATTCTGTGTAACAGTAGTTGATACTGGTTGTGATGGAGCCACGCTAGGTATCGTTGACATCGTTGTTACAGTCGTGCATGTCGTAGACGACGGCACAACTGTAATGGTGGAAGTAGTTTGAACCATTGGAGATTGTGGCTTGGTAATAACACTAGCTTGCGAAGATATTACTTGATTTTGTATTGATGAACAAGATACAGTTTCCACGGGTGGTTGTTCTTTTTTCGGCTCTTCATGAATTTCTGTTTTGTTATTCTCGAAAGATGATTTTGATTGCAGTGATTCATTGATCGAACTTTCTTTGACTGTTGCAGTAGTACTTCGGCCTTCACTAATCGTTTTAGTAGTAGTTTGAGTAGCTGACGTACTGACTGGTATATATTGGCCTTCCTCTGATTCCCTCATTGCTATTAACATTCCTGTTACCGGATCAATCAATGTCGTTGGTTCAAGAGATACAGATTTCTGTTCAGGTGGCGTCGAAGTTTGATTACTTTCTTCCACTTTAAGATTGGATTCTTCAGTAGTAACAGGACTTTCATATTTATTCTCAACTTTCTTTGGTGGGGTAACAACCAATTTAATAAATTTCTCTTCTCCTCCGCTATCCTCATTATTTTCGGAAGTCCTTCTCGTTGCTTTGCGACTACCTCTTGGTGATTTACGAGATTCGGTGACTTGCACTTTAGGCTGCGTAGTTTGTACATTACGTGGTGCGTTATTGTGCCTAGTACTTCTTCTCGTGGTATGCATATTTTGTATATTTCCACTCGACAAATTTTTATTTGACGGTCCACGAACAACGTCTTCGATTACATCGTCAATCGTGTTCCTACTACCATCTTTTTCAGCTAACCTTCTGGATTTTCTCGTGTTGGTAGCCGGCGAAACAACGTCTTCCATTGGTAATTCTGTGTTAGGACCAGATTTAATGGTAAGAATTAAACGTGGACGACCAGGATGTTCTTCTTCGCTGTCGTCATGAAATTCGTAAACGTCGGCATAGGGTAATTTATGTGCAACGTGATGTTTGTTACCTCTTGGCGTTCTTCCACCTCTTTTGTGTGCAGTTGCAGTAGTAGTTGCTGTCCTACCACGTCTAACTCCGCCACGACTGCTACCACCTCGTCTAGATTTTGATCTACCACGACGACGACTCGTTAATTCTGCCTCGCAAGTTTCAACACCTTCATCTTGTTCGTCATTAGCCGTTGTTGTGTTCTTTTTATTACTTTCTTCCTCGGTTGTTTCGGCTTGGAACCAATCGGATTCACTCTTAACTGTTTCCACAGAATTATTGTGAGTTTCTTGATTATGTTCTTGATTATCTTCGCCATCGTTACCTTCATTATCGTTACCTTCGCCATCGCACAAGGCATCTACTTTCTTTATAACACTTTCTATGTTAACTTCCTTGGCTGACCAATAATCGCTATCTTCTTTACTATCAGTTGGATCTTCTTTCGACACATCTATAGCAAGTGGATCTGTGCTCGGTTCTTTTAATGGATCTTCTACTGGTTCTTCATCCAATTCAACCTCTTCGTTTTCCTTGGGCACAGTTTCCTCCTCTTCCTCTTCCTCATATTCTTTCTCTTTCACTTCGCTTACAATCTCTGATTTGATAGTTGTTGTTTCTGTCTCAAGTTTTGGTATCAGAATATTCAACACTTCTGTCTTAGGAATGGATACTAATTTCTCTGATTCGACAAATTCATCTTTTTCTTCTTTAGGTTTGTTGTCCATCTCGCACGATTGTTCCAAAGGTTTTTCTGTTTTTGATATAGTAAACTCCATTTCTTCCTTTAACGTTGCATCCTCTTGTTTTGTTATTATATCAACTGGCGGCTCTTGTTTAGTAATTTCAATAGGCTGGCTTGATTGTATCGGTGGTGTTAATTGCATAGGTTGAGCAGTTTGTCCTATTTGTACATCAGAATCTGTCGCTGATTTTTCTGTCTGTGTTGTTACCACACGTGGTTCTATGCATTCTCGTACATTATCGGACATCGAAGTAGTCGATACAGTTGATACAGTCGTTGGTACGACTCTGGTTATTATCGATTGTGAAACTGGAGGACCAACTGGTAAATGAGATTTGGAAAGTGAGGTTACTTGAGGACAAGGTGACATTCTTTGAGAATTAGAAAGAGAAACGGTGGTTGTTTGTGGAATGCTACTCTTGTCACTGGCCGTTGTGGATTGTACTGTTGTTGTTAATTGTTGAGATACTATCGGTACTACAGTTTTAATTAACGATTGATTAGGAGAAGAGACCGTAGATGGTCCTAGACTATGTACCATAGATTTATGGACTATATGGGATTGTCCATGAGCTATAATTACAGGACTAGGTGTAGAACAATGTGGTACGTGAGTTGTTAACAATTGTACGTTGGATAATTCTTGTTTAGGTCGTGGTGAAAGCACACTGTTATCCCCTGTTACAGACACAGACATTTGTTTTTGAGATCTCGACTGTAAAGGACTGCTTTCCGTAATGCTACTTGATTTTCCAAATGCTGGATTAGACGTACTCGCACTAATTTCAATTTTAGCCGTTTCTGGTATATACGTAGGTGGTTGATTAGGCGAAGGAACTTTCGGAGAAGTCGAGGCCTTATTCGTAGATTCTGGTATAACAGCAGGCGATAATTTAGGCTCTTCTAATCTTTGTGGTAGTTCGTTTGGATTGACAGAAAGTAATGTCTCGATTACAGATTTGTTGCCTAAAACAGCTGAATCTCTAGAACTCTTAACTTGTATACCTGGTGCCAATGGTGGTACTGGCATATAAGGACGTGGTGGAATATTTAAAGTCAATGGTGGCAGACCACCTCTGGGGTAACTAGGATTAAGTGGTTTCAAACCTGCCGCGTGTTGAATCACTGGTTGTTGAGTTGCAGCAGTCGAATAAATCTGTTGTACCGTTACTTCCGGTCTATGCGCAGAAATAGGAACACTCACCGCGATTCTAGTTGGAGGTGGTGAAGGTTTCCCAACTGTAGACACGTGAGGACTCATCGCAGAACTTCGAGACCATTGTCCATTCGGTGACAATGGTTGTGGAATTCTTGGAGATAATTGTGATGATATCAAAGGTGGTATTCTTGATGGAACGAGTGATGGAACGAGTGGTGGTATAGGCGTTATACTCGACGGCGAAGACGAAGACGGAGTCGGAACGTTTTGCATTCTTGGGGAAGCTTGACGCATTGGTACCATTTGAGATTGAGGTGAAACTGGTAGTCTTTGATACAGAGGTTGTACGCTAATCGACGAAGGTCTTGGACTACTAGCTGCCGAAATTCGTGAAGTTTCATTAGCGATTGGTACATTACACGATCCCAACATCGGTTGTCTGTACGTCGGTGGCGAGGACGTTGAAGTTCGATGAGATTGGGAAACTCTTTCTGGACTGGCTATCGTCACGCCAGGCTCCACCACAGTATCCATTTGTACATTTTTTGTTGTGTCGCGAGCCGCTTTATGTTCATTAAGGTTCCAAGAATGTGCTATAATAGAATTTGGAGAGTTTTGTGATTTTGGAATAACAGGATTGAGTGGTAGACGTGCAGCTTCTGTTGGTTTATCTGCTGCAACAATAGCAACCGTGACGGTGGTTGGTGTTGTTGTCTTTGTTGGTGATTTATAAAATGATGGAATATCTGGTGTTTTCGGTGGTTGGGTTAGATCGAAGTTCTCGTAATTCGGATCTTCCTCTGTATCTGTGTCTATTTGAAGATCATGTTCACTTTGAGGTGTATCAGGTTTAAGATCTTCACCTTCGACTGTCGATGCATTCAAACTTTCAACCGCCTGTTGCATTTCTTCTACATCCTCTTGAGGTGCTTCTGTTTGTGGTCCGGTTGTACCGTCCACTTCATTATCTTCCTCTTCACCTTCATAAGAGAAATCTTCGGTTGAACCACCGAAAGTTTCTTCTAATAAAGCTGCGACAGCATCCTCAGTTTCTTCCTGCGATATAGCAACTCTTGGTTTATCCTCATTCTGAGCAGGCGGTGTTGTCGCCGAAGTTTCTGTTTCATCTCTGCCGTTACGAGATTGATTACCATTTTCACGTTCTTCCGGTTCCGAGATACTTTTGACCGCATTTTCATGAATAGTTTCATCTATTTCTATTCCAAAACCAGGTATAAATTTGTCCTTTTTCTTTTCAGGCTTTGGCGGTTGAATGACACCGGTTACAACGGGAGCACTGATAGTTGAAACAGTCGATGTATTTGATGTAACAACTTTAGGTATAGGACTTAACAGAGTATCTCTGAGAGCTGGCAAAGTTGGGGACAATGTTTTCGGAATGAGAGGACTGCTTGCTCTTGGAGGACTTGGATCGGCCCCAAGATAAGGTAACTCTCCAGTTTTTTCATGATGATGGTGGTGGTGATGATGATGATGATGATAATCTTTTCTACTGCGTTCTTCCTTAGATTTCTTACGTTTCTTTTTCTTTTCCTTAACCTTTTCAGGTACTGTAGTCGGAGTGGATGGTTCAACGCTGTCATTATCATCGGTGAAACGGAAAACGTCGTGTTCGTTGGATTCCGTACACGCGACAGCAGATTTTGGTGAGTTTGGTAGACCTAATAATTTAGCTTCGATTTCTCGTCCAGCTTCAGCAAGATCAACGCTGTTTTCATCCTCCTGGTGATGCCTCTGTCTCTTTTTTTCTGTTTTCCGTCTAACTCTTTCGACATCTAGAACTGGGCTACGTCCACCGTCGCTGTCAGAAACGTAAGCGTTATTTTCAGATGTCATATTACTAAGTCTATCAAAGAACGTGTCCGGAGGTTGAGGATCATCAACGTCATCTGAAAGGGGTCCAAAAATATCTTCCATCCTTTGGGAGTCCCTAGCTTCTTGCCTATTCAGTCTTTTCCTTCTCGCCTTAACCTTGTCTTCTCCATTTCTTTCTCTCCTTTTATCTTTCTTCGTTCTTTGCTTCTTATCGGCACGTAATTTTTCTTCAGCATTGTCAATGGTTGTTGTTGCCGACACCACCGGCGTTGTCGTTGGTGTATTACTACTAATCGTTGTTACCGATTCTGTCGTATGATTCGTACGACATTCCGTATCAGTCGATATAACAACATTAGTAGTCTTATTTTTATGATCCGTAGTAGTTTCGGTTGATTCCAATTTAGAATTCTCCTCGCTTGATACCGAATTTTTCTGACGTTTTTGTTTCTTTTTATGCGACTTCTTGCGCGAATCCCTTTCGTGATTATTAACGACTATCGTTGGATGATTCGTTTGATAGGCAACTCTTTCATCGTCATCAGAAGTACGTACTTCTTCTTTCGTATTGGTATGTACAACACTGTTGATAACAACGCTACTAGTTTCCAAAGGATTTTGTTTTTCTTCGGTATCGGCGAACCCAAGATCGACGTCACTTTCAAGAAATCTATCTGCCTTAACGTTTTTCCGAACTTTGTTGTTAAATGATTCTTCTTCTTCGCTAGTATCCGAATGAATACGCGAACGCGATCCCTTTCTCGATAAAGATTTAGCTCGTGCCGAATCAGATTCAGATGTAGCCTCGTCTTCGGTTAAAGCTTTGCTACTTACCGAATCACCGTCCCAAGATGTACTCTGTTTCTTTTCTTCTCGCCTAGCTCTACTTTGTTTCAATTGCGAAAATTTATCCTTCAACCGTACCTGTCTTTTCTCTTCCATTTTCTGCATGTTTTTCGTCGAACGCGCCTTCACCTTATCGTACATACTGATATATGCAGGTTCATCGTCAACGATATCAAATATCGAATGCTTTTTAGGCTCGTCGCTGTCCGTGTCAGTTGCGGAAGGATGTTGTCGTGCAACTTGCATGTCATGTCCAGGACCATCGTCAACATCGCTGTGTTGATTCAACGAAGCCTGCTGTTGTTGTTGTTGTTGTTGATGGAATTGCGAAGATTCTCTCGGATGATGCGAACCGGTAGAAGTTTGATCGTTCGGCGAACTGATTTCGCTACGTTTAGAAAGTTCTAATCTTGACAGGAATTCTTTGTCGGCTTCCTGACAAACCCTAGGACTACGTTCCCTAGATTCTTTTTCCGATCTTCTTTTACTCCTCTGTTTTTCTTTAACACTTTCCCTATTATTATCCCTATTTTCTCGGGTAGATTCTCTAATATCTGTGTGAGTAGTATCTCTAGAATCTTGAACGGTTCCACTGCTATCCTTACTCTCCCGACTTTCCCTACTTTCTCGACTAGAACGATGAGAGTCATTACGATGTTTGCGATCCTCAGATTTTCTATTTTGTCTAGGCCGGTCTTTGCTATCTCTCCTATGATCCGAGATCTTCATACGTTTGCTATCATCTTCAGTGGGACAGTCTTGGGACGAGAATCTACGTTTCGTTGGTACTGGTGCTGGCGAAGTTTGCTGGTTTTGAGATTGTGCATTTACCGATTGATGAAGATGATTATCGGTCGGTTGACGCCTACTTTCTTCCCGTTCACGTTTTTCTTTATCCTTTTCCTCCCGATCTCTCCTCTTCTCTCGCTCGACCTTTTCCTTGTCGCGTTTTTCTTGATCTTCCCGTTCTCTCCTCTTTTCACGTTCGTGTTTCTCCCTCTCTAACCTTTCCCTTTCCTCCTTCTCACGTTTTTCCTTTTCCGTTCTCTCCCGTTCCTCTTTCTCTTTCTCCTTCCGCCTCTCTCGTTCCAAACGTTCCTTCTCCTCCCTCTCCCGTTTCCTTTCCTTATCAATGCGTTCCTTTTCCTCCCTTCTTCTATCCCGTTCCAATCTCTCCCGTTCTTCCTTATCTCGCCTTTCCTGTTCCTCCCGTTCCTTCCTCAAACGTTCCTTCTCTTGTTTCTCCCTTTCCAAACGCAATTCACGTTCCTTCCTTTCCCGTTCCTCCCTATCCCTTCTCTCCCTTTCCTCGCGTTCCCTGCGATCTTGCCTTTCCTTTTCCTCCCGTTCCCTCTTCTCACGTTCCAACCGTTCCTTCTCTCTCCTCTCCTTCTCACGAAATTCACTTTCCTCCCTTTCCTTCTTTTCCCGTTCTCGTTCCTCCCGTTCTCTCCTATCCTTCTCCTGACGTTCCTTGTCTAATCTCTCCCTTTCCTTACGTTCCTCATCCTTTTCCCTTCTTTCCCTTTCCTCTCGTTCCTTGCGTTCCTGTCTCTCACGATCTTCTTTATCTCTTCGTTCCTGTCTCTCCCGATCATCTTTCTCTCTTCTTTCCTTGTCTTCACGTTCTCTCCTCTCGTACCTTGTCTCCTTGGTCTCTTTGACATCTCTACTGTGATTATCTGTTTCATTGACGTCAGGGTTGCTGTTGCTCGGAACTTCCTTATCGTCCTTTTCCTTCCGATCAATTTCCTCCTTTCTCGATCTTCGACTCTGACAATCCTTACTTTTACTACTGTGTTTCGAATCTCTACCATCTCTACCTTCACGAGAGTCTCTTCTCTCTCTATTACCAGTACTACTACCACTACTACTACTACTACTACTTATGCCAATCTCCTTTCGTAATCGAGCACGAATTATATCGACCGAGGAAGAGGATAACGAAGACGTGCTGCTGCACGATATCGTGGAAGACAATGGCACCGAAGAGGAAGCGGTTGTTGTTGTCAAGGAAGATTGATGGTATTGACCGCTCGATTGTTGTTGTTGTTGTTGCTGTTGTTGCTGTTGCTGTTGTTGTTGTTGTATCGTGCCTGACGAGGAAATTGTTGGTACCGATATTGTCGATGTTGCTGTTGTTAAAATCATCGTCGTTGTCGTAATAACACCGGATGATGATGATGATGATGATGATGACGTTACTGCTGCTGCTGTTGTTAATGCTGCTGCTGCTACTGCTACTGTTGACGCTGCCGTTGCTGAGAAGGAAACTGAAGAAGATGCTGATATCGCGACTGATGACGAGGAGGTTAAACAAGATGAAGAAGAAGAAGAAGATGAAGAAGAAGAAGAAGAAGAAGGAGGAGGAACAGAAGTGGAAATGATAGAGGAAGAGTTCGAGGATGAGGAGGATGAAGAGGACGATGACGAAGATATCGCCACTGACGACGACGACGACGATGATGACGACGACGACGAATTATTTAAAACTGTATTACTAGAAATTAATCCCCGATTCGTCGAGGCGCTGAGGTTGTGAATACTACATATACTACTATTACCACTAAGAAGGCTACTGACCGACCCTAAACCGCTATTATTACCACTGCTTGCTGCCGTCCCGCTAGTTGCAAGACCGATAGGTAAAGAAACTGGTGGTAATTCCGGACTGACGGTTTTGATCGACGTGCCCGGGGTGATCGGTGTTGCTGGGGTTGGGTGTACACAATTGTGCTGCATCGTCGAGCGTGGATCAGTCGTTTTTAACATTGACGGAACCATGCTCGTCGAGAGCATCGTGCTACTACCACCGATGTGACTGCTAACAGAGGAGGTACTGGTCAGTTGCACCGGCGGATGACTAGGAAATGGATATTGGAGGCAAACTTTGCTGGTACAACCCCCGCTAGAAGTTAACCCAGCCGTGCTACCGATCATCGAACTGACGCCAATGACGCCCGTAAATTCTTTAGGTTCGTATTTTTCACTGAAATTCTCTAGTCGTTTCGAATCCTCGTCGAAGACACTCCTTTTCGCGAGAACAGACTTCACTATATCCGATGGTTGCACTTCGTTTAGATCCATGTCTAAAAGTTTATGCCGGAATCTAAAACGTTCCGAAGCGCTCGCGTCAAGTTTAGCCAAAGCATCGCCACCGGCCGCACTCAGAGCTCTCGAGCCCGACCACTTTTCGTATTTCTCGTCGAGGGAACGTATTCTCTCTTCGAGACTAGGAGACTGGGGCGCTGTCTCGCTGTCGGAACTCGTTGGACTGGGGCTCAAATGTCTAGGCGGTGGCGAGGCTGGTGGCTGGGGTGCCGTACAAGGGCTTATTGTCACCGAAAGCCCACCACTGGCACAGGGTGGACTAGTGACTTTTAAATTGCTGCTGCTCGATCGTGCGTTACTACTACTACTGTTGGTGTTGCCGTTGTTGTTGTTGTTGTTGTTGCTGTTATTGTTGTTGTTGTTGTTGCTGTTACTGGTATTGTTGTTGTTCAGCATCTGAGTCGCGAACCTTGGTAGAGGTAACGAAAGAGGACCCTCGTGACTCCTTTCACGAAATCTTCTTGGTTCGCTCGGCACAAGGTTCTCCGGTCTTTCATCGACGAGAGGCGTTCCTGGTCGTGATCCATCGTGATGCTCGTGATGTCTAAATGTGTTAGAAAATAAAAGAAAACGGATAAGTTAATTAAAGAGATAATATTACACCTATACAGTTAGAAGACGCGATACGCGGAAACTTTTATTTCTTTTTTTCATTCTTCTATCTCTCTCCCTTTCTCTATTTCTCTACTTCTCTTTCTGTCTTTATCTCTAACTTATTCAATCTCACCTGCTAGAAGTATCTCGACGACGCTTACAAGGTCCTGGACCCCTGCCCTCGCAGCTACTTCTTCTCGTACTATGATGCACCACCACTTTGCTGTCACTTACGCGTCTAACGTCCATGCCTTTTCTACCGGAATGAGAAGTTACCATCAAGGATGCGATTTCAGGTTCATCGTCCTCGCATAGTATCGTTGTTGAACTCCCATCCAGTTTGACTCGTTTCTTAGGTGCAAAACCAACTTCGTCGCCGCTGCTGTGACACTCCTCGAGCTGTTCCAACAAATGGACTCGCTCTTTTTGAAGATGCCTGATGTCGGGCGGAGGTAAAATCGGTGGTGGTGGAACTGGTGGTTCCACGCTGGTAACAACACTCTGGACAGTATGCCTCCGAGACGACGGGGGTGGTGGACAATCGTCGTCGTTGATTTTACCATCGCTGAGAACGCTGCTTTGATATTCGTCGTGGCTCGCTCCGCTTCCTTGGCTGTATTCGTCGTAACTTCGGAATCTCCGTGAATTCTGCTCGTTGTAATCAGCTTCGTAGTATGAATCTTGGTAAGACCGTCTGCTGCTACGCGACATCGCCGTTGGATGAGCTGGACTGGCCCCTGGAGTGCTACCACCACCGGAAGTACGAGAGTAACTACTAGTTGTCCTTGATCTTGGGGGTGTATCGTAACGAGTAAATCGACCGCCCGAATTTGATACTGTAACTGCTGATTCAAAGCTGCTACGTTCCCTCCTGTAATGAATCCTTTCAGTAACGCGTGAATTCTACTTTGTGCTCTTTATTTGGGGGTGACGATGATACTTAAAGCTAGACATTTATACAATTAGTTGTTACACATTAATAATAATAATAATAATAATGATCAATATATTATATCAAACATTAACAAATGAACAAAAAAATCATAACTTACTTTATACGTTTTTATTACTGTTAAATATTTTAATCTTTGAACCGATTTAAAAAAGAATTTTGAAATATATGCAAAATATTATTGTAATATATATTTTTTGTATATAATTATAGATATAATATATAATTATACATACGCAACATCGAAGTTTGTCGCCGGCGAAGGCCTCGTGTCCCAAGGTTTTTCACCAGAAACACCTTGTCGTTCCAGATGTTCGTAGAACGTTTCCTGACATTCTCTGGACGCGAAGTCCACTTGAAGACGACGTCCACGAAGTGCGGCTCCTCTCATTTCCTTCACGGCAGCCTGGGCGCAGCTTATTTGTTCGAAGTTAACCAACGCGTGGCCACGTTCACGATCCAAAACGATTTGCGTAATAGGACCGAACTGATGGAACTGCAGGTTCAGATATTTTTCCGACATGCAATCTATAAAACGGAAGAATGATTTATTACAAATGTGCATGCCTATATGTATACATACATACATATATATATATATATATATATATATAAATATCGACATGATTGAATGATCGTAGAAACGTGAAACGTTGGTTTACCTCCTATTCCGTCCACCCAAACGCAGGAGGTTGGCATGGATTTGCCAAATCCAAGTTTGATACGATTCGCACCTAGGTGTTCACCATCCATAGATCTCATGGCCTTAACGACACTACCGATGTCTGAATACTGACAGAATGCATAGCTCGAAACAGCGCCTTGCTTTTTTATGTCAATTTCCTGCAAAGCCGGATGATCCATCCAACAGAAAAAAAAGAAAAAAAAAAAAAAAAGAAAAGAAACATATATTAGAACACACCGAATTTTTAGGGAATTTCGTAAAGGACGAAAAAAATACAGTTTAAATGAATAATAATTGATTAATAATGTCTGTTCCATAATCGTGTTTAAACTTACGATAATTTCGCCAAAAAGCTCAAAGTGTTTCCTGAGTTCAGATGCGGTGACATCTTTTTCGAGATTCCCAATAAATAACGTCCTAGTTGCTTTGGGATGATACTCGTCTAGTTCAGCCTCATACGGCCTGAACTCGTTGTCCTCGACGTCGTATCCTTGATAAGGCGCAACTTCGATCTTACAACCGAAAAATAGTTTGTCGTGGGAGACCTCTAGGGCTTTCTCTACGTCCTCGGGTTTCTTGAAACAAACCAGAGCGTATCTGTCGCCCGCTGCACCGACAACCTTCACCCACGTGACCTTCCCATGTTTTTTATATTCATGGAAAAGGCCATCCTTGAGGGAAGTGTCGCTGCTACGAGCAGGAAGGTTCCGAACGCATATCGCCAATGGCCTGCGATCCTCGGTGACTGCAACAGCATTTCCGGTACGATGCGGTGAGCTTCCTGGTGACGTGCTTGCAGCGGATGTGCTACCAGCGGAACTGCCGCTTCGACTACTACTGCTACTACCGGAACGGCTACTACCGCTCGGCGAGCTGCTACCGCTTCGAGATTTTCTACGTTGTTTCTTGTGTTGTCGGTGAACGCTGCTGCTACTAATACCTCCGCCACCTATTGTTAACAAATAATTAAAATAAACCGAGGAAAAATAATGTTTGTTTAATATATATTAAGCCGCCTCTAATCCTCGAGGAATGTCGTTCGTCTCATGTCAATGAGTTACCTTGTTCATCTTGGTAGGAATCGTTGGTAGCCGGTGAAGGTGGTGGAGGTGCATTACCATATCTCGATGAAGCAGTAGACTCGTAGGCAGAAGACCAGGAAGACGGTGGCCGATGACGATCTAAATGGGGCGGGGGTGGCGGCCCGGAGCCGTAAGGGCCTGTCCTCGGGTAAAGCCGATCCCTCGCCCTGCTCGACGTCACGTGGTAAGAGCTACCAGGTGGTGGACGTCCACGTGGTATGTAGCCACCAGGATCACCGCTATTAGGATCGACTGGGTGGCCTTGAACAACGACGACTCCGCTTCCTGCTCCGCCGACGCCGCCGACGCTGCCAGCGTTGCTGCCACCGCCTCCGCTCCCGGCACCCCCGCCGCCTCCGCTGTAGAAACTCCCATGGGAACCCCCGTGGGAACCCCCGTGGGAACCTCCGTGAGAACCAACGTGTGAGCTCCTGGACTCGACGAAACTACTTTCGCTGCCACCGCCACCGACAACGACGCTGCCGCCGACGCCGACGCCAACGCCGCCCCCGCTGCCACTGCCACCGCTGCCGCTGACGCCGCTGCTAATGCCAACTGGGTTACCACCACTGCCTCCGACGACTCCGCCGACTCCACCGACGACGATACTCCCGCTACCAGATCCGACGATACTTCCGCTACCACCGACGACGACCCCAACACCACCCCCGACGACGACGCCGACGTTTCCTCCGCCTCCACCTCCGGAACCACTGCCGCCACTCGGGCCATGATCCTCCGAACTTCTGAAACATACCAAATCAAACTTAGTCTACTCTGATTGCTAAAGAATTATCATCATCATCATCAGCACCACCACCATCTTCATCACCATCTTAATCATCATCATTATTATTTTTATTATTATCTCGTGGTTACTGAGATAACTCATGAACGTGATCTTTATGCCTAAGCGATTTGTTTATTCCTCAAGTGTCACGTGATCGTGATACGAAGTACTTCTCTTCATTCTCTCTTCTTCACTTAAGACAAGGTAAGTAAGTCTTTTATTCCTCGTTCATACGTTTATATCACCTCTAAAACAAATTTGCCTGATACGTATTTGAAACCTTGAGAGAAGAATTGTTCGAGAGATAAATATCTCTCTCTCTCTCTCTCCTTTTATCTTTCTTGTATGCAAGAAAGAATTAAATGCGTACGAAGGTAACCTCGTGAGGTATAAAACAAAAAAGAAAAAAGAAAAAAATTAACCGATGCTAGATGCGAGTCATGTTCGAAGGATGAAGAAGAAAAGTAAAAAAAAAAAAAAAGATCATCCGCCGGAGATTATCCGTGGTGATGCATCAAGAGAGAGGATATCCGCGACGGAGACAAGTTGTTCATTGTAAAATCCAACACAACACTGAAGGACAAAACTTACTGCGTGTCACGTCGGTCACGCCAAAGTAGAGATTCCAAATCGTGACACGGATGTGGAAAGAAGACCCCTCTCCACCCTCTCTCCCCCTCAACCCGCCACCCTAAGAGGGAGAGAAAAGGAAAGAAAAAGAAAAGAGATTTCGAAACGTTCTCTTGTGGCTTGATCTCTAACCAATCATCTCACTCAGAGAGGATAGACGCCGTTATTCAAAGAAGGTTATCGGTTGTGTGGTTTGTGTGAAAGAAAACGAGGAGGAAGGGCTGGCTTTAAGTTAAGGAAAAAATAAGTTCTCTGCGCAATTATTCTTACCTACACCTAACCTCAAAAAAGAAGAAGAAGAAGAAGAATATATCTCAACGAATTTTTTTTATTTCTTCTGTCATACTTAATTCTCATAGTTTTTTTTTATATAGGAAACAAAATACCGTAAGTATAAAACTATCTCGTTAAGAAAAAATAAAATTATTTTCTTAGATTGTGAAATTCATATAAAAATTCTTATCGAATTTATTAAATATTTCTCAAATATGTACACATTAATATATATTATTATAATTATTATTATTACATTTACTACGTGCGTGTGTAATATATTACACGCAGAAATATACAAAGGGGCAAGGGTTAATCGTAGCTTCTTGCATGTGTCGTGACTTGTTTGGCATGCACGGTATGGGGGCCACAATAATATACCCGATAAGATATTTCTAGAGTCGTATCAGCATAACCTAGGCGCATGCGCATTACCGACAGAAAGGTAGGGTCATGACAAATTAGTCTAACGCCATCTTTATCTATATGGTCAAGTATTAGTAAAGTCTGTCTTCTCTTTTCTCTTTCTTTCTAACCTCTACGCAAACTATTTTCATTCTTTCTCTAACATTAAAACGTGACTTGCACGTTAAATCTTAGCATCGCGAGTTAGAAATTTCATCATCAGATTCGATTCGATAAGCCCCCGGTGCTGGTGGTGGTTATATTTATAAACGTCTGTGATTCATAAGTAGATTATAAAAAAAAAAAAAAAAACCTTGCCGATACTGTGATAAATATTGAACGATGACGTCACCGCTCTCCAACGAGAACATTTTGCACGAATCACCAATGATTGTATATACGTTACGATTCAAAGTTCCTCTTACGTAGAAACGCAACTCCTAAATAATAATTACGAATTAATGAACAAATTCGCAAAGAACATTTTTTTATTCAATTATGATTAAAACAAAATGGAAGAGAAGACGATTCCTGCAACGAGGGTCGGAAAAAAAAGGGTTTGTACATTCATAAACCTACGACTCTAAAAAACGTTTAACAGTCGAACTGCCCCCTCCCCCTTTCTTCTCCTTTTACAGGTTCTTTTGAGCACCCGCAATAAGGTTGTATGCCCTCTCCCATCCCCCCCCATCACCCCCCCCCTCGTCATCGTTACGGTTCGACGTTCCGTCACTCGACGACGAACAACGTCTGGCAACGTCGCTTTCTTCATCGTCATTTTCTTCGACAATATCCTCCCCCCCCCGCGGTCCCTCTTCCGTTCCGTTCCGTCCATCCATCGTGTCTTCGAAATCGTCACGGTCGTCTAATTTTTCATGGAAATGCAACAACGCCACCATTGCTGTTACATTTCACCGAGACAGGAAGAAAGAGAGAGACAGAGTGAGGTGGGGCACAGGAGGAGGAGGAGGAAGAAGGGGGGAGGAGGGGGAAAAATAGACGCACATTCCAAAGTAACGTTTAATATAACCCGGAGTATTAAAAGTTTGTTTCTTCTTTCTAATCTCTTTCTTCATTTTTGATTGGAAAAATAAAAATCATTTCTTATCTCTATATGCGAACACTTCTTTTCTACTTTACTTCCTGAAACAACTGGTTGGTCTTCTTCTTCCTCTTCTTTTTTTTTTTTATACGTTGTTATTGGTCTATATAATTTTTGTCTGCATTTAATTATTACTTTTTCTAAACAGTATACGAAGAAAATAGTAGAATGTACGTAGTCATCGTGAAGAGACACGGACTGTGGTTAATGAGAAACCAGAAATTATTACCACGCGCATGTTTTGCATGGTTTTTTTTTTTTTTTTAACTTGACGACAGAGATCCAAGTAATTAAATAAAACAAGCTTTTTATTATTACACGTCACCGTGATGTGATGTGATGTTGGTTGGTTAGTTGATTGGGTTGGTTGGTTGGTGGCCGGGCAAGCAAACAATTACGAAAAAAGGCCACTAAGGGAATAACAAAAACAACAAAAACAAGAGAAAATGATAGACAAACACACAGCAACGAAGGCGTTGCAATTTCCCTTATCGACCGAAGACACAACGGGCCAGAACGACAATTTCTTTGGATGGGGAAGGGGAGGAGACGAGGGGCCTGCAGGGTTCATGTTAAAAAAAAACAGATCATAAATTGACTATTCATCAAAACGAATGATCGCGATAATACTACGCGAAAGCAACTTGTAATATTTCTAGGAAATACTTTAATTAGTGAGAAAATCGATGAGGAGGAGCCCCCCACACCCCACCACCACCACTGTGTCATGGTTGGCGCCGTGTCCCACGACGCATTTCAAATATGAAAGAACACACGTAATATTCGATCGAATTCAACGCGACTAAGGTGGTGGTGGTGGTGGTAGTGGTGGGTGATTGATATCTTTTCAGTTGATAAGAACTTATCGATGATATCGTAGAGAGGAGGAGGAGGAGGAGTTCATCAAAAAAACGATGTCGACATTTTCTATACACACACACACACCTAAAGGTATCTCTTCTCTCAACGTTTTCCACTTAATTCTACACACAGTATTACTGATATTGTCTCTGTATGGTCTTCTGATAAGGAAAAGGATAAATAATATTTAAAAGGTCCCATACACAGCAGGTTTCCATGACTTACCTTTCCAATAACAATTCATACTTGTTTTTCAATGATGCACCGTGCACTAAACACGATGCATTTGTCTTCAAAACGATGAGAATGAAGTTGACGATGAAGATTATGACACTTGGCACTTATATTTAATCCAAATTCACTGTAATCCAACACTGCATCCATTTGTGGGAGGGGTGTGTGGTACGTCAACTCATCAAATTGACGACAATGATGATGACGACGATGACGATGACGACGATGACGACGAGTTTCACTAAATTTCTTTTTTCATCCCACTGAAGTTTTATTTACACAAGCAACCATCATCATCCCATATTGTGACATTTTGTATATATCATATTTGAAATAGTACAATAGTCAGCGCAACATGGTATTTTTGATATGATTAGAAAAGGATTATTATGTGTATAAGGAAGTGTGTGTATAACCTATACATACATACACACATATATGAGAGGATGGGCAAAGACCATACATGAGAAAAAATATAAAGAAAACTAAGAGAGACCTCCTAACACATGTGTAATGACGTTTCAATGTCATTTAACTAGCTTCCGGTATATAAATGTGCGATTTAATCGATTCCTTGACTTCAACGTGACTCATCGTATAAAGTGCTCTTTTATATACGTACTCACGCACGCACGCACACGCATGCATAAACGTAAAAAGAAAAATGGACGTATACAAAACACGCAAGTCGTTCGAAAACGAGCAAGCAAAAATATCGTTATCGGTTTCCTCGTCATGAGGGGGCGGGGAAAGAAGAAGAAGAAGAAGAAGAACATCACACGTTGTACAGTGCAGATAGGGAAACATTTGAAATACTTGTTTCAACGTTTCATCACGATCCATGAGGATATTTTATTTTTATCCACATTTAGTTATAATGACAAGTGTACGGATCATTATGAATCATTGTAACTTTTATTATACCTAGATTAGATATTCAGATCTCACGTTCGTGTTTATTTCCAGTTGCCCATTAAAAACTTGAATTCATTATACCGAGAACCTGATCATATTCTAACAAGGAAGGTAGGTGGTGTCCTCGTATCAAGCCTAGGGGGAATTGCCAATTGTTTGTTTAAGGAATAATATAGTTAAATTAAAAATTGTTTTAACCATTTAGCTTCGAGCACTGCATATATTATTCGGCATCCCATTTGTGGGTGATACGAGCGCCGTATATATCCGGCGTCCAAACATAAATTTATTTAGCAAATATATTATTACCTATATCATTTTGTAAGACTTTTCATATTAAAAATATAAATATATTATTGGAGCAATGATTATTTTCTTCAGCACAGTTTGTTATTTAACCCTTTCGTTAGACCAATTCGAACGAAGAACACCGTACCGAAAAGTATGCACACACATTGGAGCGTCGGTAGTCTTAAGTTTTTCAACGTCACCTTAAACGTCGATTTATTTTCATATCCAGAATATATATTACGTGATTTGACAATTTATTTTTAGTATAATTAATGTAATAGAATGAAAGTAGAATAATTGTATCTTGCCGGTTATAGTCGTCACCTATAGTTAACGAAAAGGTTAAAAGGATTTAGGGAGAACCAACAACAACAACAACACTGTGCATATTTTTGATACTGTGAATGTTTTCGAAAGGGTTTTAATTATAAATCATCCCGCATATATCTCACCCGTGCGAGGGAAATCTATGTTGAAGATGCTGGGGCTCGTAGTATTGTGTCGTAAGGGCTCGTTCGTCCAAAGTGTGTTCAGTCGCGTGAGCCTTCGCTGCGGACTTGATATCCATGAACGCCACCGTCGCGGAGGCGCCCCCGGTGTTAATCGAGGAACAACCACCACCCCCGCTGCCGCCGCCCCCGCCGCCGCTACCGGAACTGGAACCGGAACCACCCTCGTTGCCCTCCCCGAGGGAACCACCGGAACCTCCGTCCACAGGGCACACTTCGCCCCGCGGCAGCAGCTTGACGCTCTGCACGCGTCCATACCTGTAATACAACAAAATAAAAATTCATTCAATAAAATAATCATCTTTTAAAACTCATTTTTAAAACAAACATATATATATATATAAATAACTTAATATATATATAACTTATTATAAATAACTTAACACCTACTGACCGATTGCCTATTAATCGGCTTTTTTCATCAGCAACGCTAACCGACCGATAGCCTATTAATCGGCTTTTTTAATTGCCAACGCTTACCGAACAATCGCTTTTGTTGCATTGTTGTTATCAACATTTTATTAAATTTAATTATCCTATCCTGTAATGTGCTGTATATCCTAATATATCCAGTAATAACAGAAAGCGGAAAATTTTCTCTGAGCATATGAAACGCACAGATACTCCCGTGCGCTAATGTAGGCCGAAAAACAGCGGGTCGTTTGAGAGTATCTGCGGCTGAGCGGCCTGTCAGTAAAGTGTTAATACATAATGTAAAGTTTATGGTGAATTGGTCGATAACAAATCATTATCAAATATATTCTTATGTTAAATATTGAAAAAAAAACACCCCCCTTTATAAGAATAAACAGAAATAACATTCAATTGTATTTACTTATCTAATCTTTTCTAAAACAAATTTATACAATATTGTATATAGCAAAACAAGGGGGACAGGGTAACATGTATCATCTTTAAAAAGAGAAGGAAAAAAAAAACAAGAATTAGTGATTCACGCGCGTCCTGAGAAAAGAAGATTCTTTTCTTATCGTATTCTTATGATAGTTGATCAATGATATTAGTGAGGGTGGGAGGCAAGCAATGAACGTGAAATGCAAACATTAGAGAAGATATATACGATATATTCAGAGGAAAGAGAAAGAGAGAGGGAGAGTCATTGTGCGCTAGTTCAAATGGCATATTATCATCCTCAATGTGAAAGTTCAAAAGGATGGAGAGAAAAAAAAACATAGGGGGAATGGGAGAAAGAAAATGAAGGGAAGGAGGATTACACTACACGTTGTTGTTCTACAAATGTGTCGTTGCATCAATATTTTAACATCCAATGAAATAGAATAGGTAAAGAAAATAAAAGAAGAAAGAAAGGAAGGAAGGAAGGAAGGAAGGAAGGAAGGAAGTAAGGTAAGATAGGATAGGCAAAGTCCGTGGAACGTTTGAAAAGTAATAGAAGGTGTGCTGAAGAAGAAGAAGAAGAAGAGACGACGACAGTGTAGGAAGGAAAGTTGGCAACGTTGAACGGTAATACTCTGATGGTAGGTAGAGTACGGCAACAGCGCAGCAGAAGGGATTCTCGTTGAGAGAGATCGTTTGGGATTTCGAAGAAGGGAGGAGGAGACCCTGTAATCCTCTGCCCGTAGAAACCTCTCGCGATACCCGACACGAGAGAGCCGGAGGAAATTAAGTCGAAGGAAGAGAAAGACGGATAGAGGTTAGAGAGACGAACTGCTGGTAGTGGGGGATAAGGGGAAGAAGAGAAGAAAGAAGAAGAGGAGGAGGTGGAGGTGGAAGAGTAGTGGTAAAGAGGTAGAGAAAGTAGGGGGTGGGATGACGAAGAAGTGGAGGGGGAAGTGAAGACTTTGGAGGGGTTGAAAAGGAGAAGATTGGAGTGCGCATGCGCGTAAAAGCATTTGTGCTGCTTTTGCGCGCGGCTGAAAGAAGAAGAAACCGAAGAGAAGAGAAGAAAAGAAGAAGAAGAAGGGCAGGAAGGGAAGAGGAGAAAGGAGACACACTGAGGAGAAGAGACGACGAGACCTCGATCGAAGTCTTCCTCCGGCGGCGCATTCAGATCCGTACGGATAAAAGCCCTTGCGGATGTTTTTGCAGAGCGGCCATGACGGGCAAGCAAGCAAGCCTTTCCCTCGCTCGCTTACTCTCCTCTACTCGTAGAGAAAGAAGATAAACTGATATGTACGTGTATACCATATTCTTCTAGATATTTCATATATTTTATTCGGTTTAAATGTGCGCACAAAAGTAATACAGAAATACAGAAAAGGAAACGGTTAAAGTATGATATCGAAAATCTCTCTCAACGGGGTATATATATTCAAGAAAAAGAAGATTACTACTTTCCAAAAGAAAAACATGAAGAAGATGAAAAAATAAAAAGGTATATATATATATATCATAAAAATATAAAGTACAATTTTTATATAAATATCTACGACGTTATATACGTAGAGAAATACAGCGAGAAAGAGAAAAAGAAATAAAGAAAAGGAGGTATAAAAAATGGCGTCGGTAAAAGTTACGCACCGCCATTACGCGTTTTTAGTCACCGACGACGACACGGAGACGACTCTAGCTGCGCGAATGTGCGACGCACGGATCTCTTGTGTTACTTTTTTTTCCCTCCCAGACAATTTTTATTATTATTTTTTCTATTTCCCCCCCTTTTTAATTTTATTCTAATAAAAAAAGAGAACTCTCTCTCTCTCTTTCTCTGTCTCCGAAGAGAGAATATTGTATCATCTTGTATAAAAATGAGAATAAAAAGAATGAAGTTTTAAGTAGAAAGAGAGAAGGTTGGTTGGTTGGTTGGTTGGTTGGTTGGTTGCTGCTGCTTGCTGCTCGGCAAGAATAATACACGGAGGAGAAGCACGGGTAGTATAACCGTCCATCGATGATGACGACGAGGTGGAGGAGAGAAAAAGGAAGAGGAGGAGGAGGAGGAGGAGGAGACGGTGCAGCAGGCAGGCAGGAGAGGAAAGAAGAAGAAGACGAACACCAGAGAATGACGGCGTAGTTCCCTCGACGCAGAACTAAGGGGAAGTTTGGATGGTAAGAGGATGAGAAGGGGAAGTTTGGATGGTTCGAGGGTGAGAAGGGGGTTGGGGTGTATGCTGTGTGAGAGGAGAAGCAAGCAAGTTCTCTCTTATTTTCTTTCTCTCTCTCTCTCTCTTACGGTTGCTCTGACAATGCGCAAGGAGTGGGGAATAATCGTCGATAAGAGGATGATGAAAGGGCCACTGCGATTGGTCGAACGTTTGTAGAGCAGCTACGCGCAGACGCAGATATCGAAGGCTCGACTTTTCTCAGCGAGTCGATCGGCTGATCTCGCGCGAGTTGCACGTATTTATAAACACCTACTGTTTTCCGTTCTCTTTTTCTCTTTTATTTAAACAAAAAAAGGCACGATTTTTATATTTTTGATCGGAAAAGGAAATACTACACATTATATATCCGATATATAATATTTATTTTTCCCCCTCCATTTTGATAGGATTAATAATAATAATTATAAAACGCCACGGAACACAACAACCGCACCGGGATGGATATATCATTTTCTTTTATTTCTTTATATTTAAGTTTTATTTGTCTGGCGTTAATATTATATTTTCAAAAAGTATTTTCGATGAGAAGCAAGCAGCACATTATAACAAAAAATCTCGACTGATAACTGCTGTAAAACATAACCCCCTAAAAAAATATTAATAGGGGTCGTCCACCGCCGCCCTTTTGCGCGCGAGGGTTTTTCGCGACAAATTGTTTTTTCCTTGATAAAAAAGTAAAGAAAAAATGTTATATTTTATAAAAAGAAAAGAGGGAATAAATGAGGATACACGGTTAGACAGGAGAGGAGGTGACGGAGGAGGAGGAAGAGAACATATATGCCTCGTTGGAAGAGGGTCGAGAAGAGAGGGGGATAAGAAGATTCGCGAGATAAAACGCAACCCAACACACACAACTCGGATTATTTCAAACGTCGTTAGAAAAAGGGATAGGGATTGGATAATCATTTTCTTTATCTTAGGGAGTTTCTTCCTTCTTCTCTAAGGAAAACAACTGAACCTCGAAAAAACAATGGTGCATTTTATTTTTTCTTCCTTTTTCTTTTTTTTTGGTTTAACTTTTGCATACGACAATCCTAATGTTTTTTCGTATTTCGTTAACAACGTTTTTGTTTAACAAAATACGTTGATTTTGTTACGGGACTTTGAACACCTTAACTGCTGTTGCTGTTGCTACTGCTGCTATACCAACCATCAGCGTGCCGTGGGGTTGTTGTTGTTCTTGTTGGTTTTCCCCTATATTTTTTGATCTTCCCATTTTAATTTCTCCCCTCGCGTTCGTAAGTAAAATTACTTTCGTCGTCGTCGTAGTATCCTCGGAAGAAGAGTCCGTTGGTTTTAATGATCGAACATCACCACAACCATGGGGCGTGGTTCCTCGCTAAAGCGTGTGATCCGATTCGCAGATGGGCCGATGCGCAATTACGTAGCGTTGCGTCGCAAGTTTATCTCATCTACATTTTCTTGGCTTAACGAAACACAACTAAAGAAATTCTTCAATTGCCAGAAAAAGAGAAATTATAATACCACATTTTCCTTAAGAAAAGGGACAGAAACTATGAGAAAGAGAGTACAGAAGAATTGTTCCAATTCAAAAAATGATCACGAAGATATATTTTATTCAAGGTCTTCGATGATCATCTCACGTCTCTCTCTCTCTTTTTCTCTCAAATGTATCATAAATCGTAAAAACACCCTGAGAAATCTAAAAAAAGCATCCTCAGGAAAAATTTCCTCCTATACCAGTTGAATTCGTTTAATTAATTAAAAAAATAAATCCTAAAATACATCAGGGATTATATACACCTTCGTTCGTGAATTACTATCACAAATGTAGAACCTAAAAAAATCGATACTTCGAATCGTGTGATGGTGTCCTCGAGTGATGATACTTAAAAACCCAATTAAAAAAAAGAAGAAGTACAACTTCAAAAATCCTTTTTCGCCACTGAATATATATATCCCAATAAAAGAAACGTTTAAGTAGCAGCTAGCTCTCCTGCTGTCCATCGTGTTTTCGAAACAAACAAAAATGAAATGGGGATGACAATGATGAGAGATGGTTTCGAGGAATTTGGGAGAGGACTTTGTTCAGTTTAGGCATTGGCTATGACAATCGGGCAAAGTGAAAAACTCTTCAGTGTGCTGTTGCCTACTGCAGTATGTCCGCCTGTTCGTCTGTCTGTCTAACTGACTGACTGACTGCTTGCCTCCCAGTCTGTC